TAAGATTGAGCCTACAAGAAAAACATAAAATGTAAATGTAACAGTGATGTTGCTTAATCTAACCTGCAAGAACTCTCTCGAGAAAATCCTCAAATGGGGAAATTTTTCAGAATTGTTTTGATTTCACTGGATCTGCCTTCACACCCCCTCACTAAAAAACTAAAACAGGTTTTTTGTGAGTGTAGTAGAGAGGTATCTTGTTACATCTTCTTAGTAACAAGACTTGTGGCAACTTGAAATTTCTTACAATGTTTAACTCCTCATGTTAGGAATCAATTCCAATTCTAACTTCAGGTGACTTTTTTTTTCTGTATTATTCTTTTGACACATATATTTCTTCCTTCCATGCCTTGGCATAAAACATAGCTTTGAAAATGGGCATATACAATATACAAGGTGGCTTTATTTTTATGGTAACATTTTTAGATTTCAACTGTTCAAAAAAATGTAATTTAAAAAAATAATTCATGTTGGTATCAAGATCACCAGCTTCTGCCTACATATCACTGCAAGGAATTTCTGTTCTGGCAACCTGATGTTTCATATGAGTTTATCATAACATTGAACCAGTGTCAAAAACTTTTTTGCACAGTAAAAATCACCTGCGATATTGGGTACATTCCTTCATTCATATTTCTTCATCACTCCAACTTTTCCTCATTACACTAATTTTAACTCTACCAGGTCGCTACAAAGACAAGAACTTGCTCTGTTTTCACCAGAATCAATGTTGAGCAAATGCTTCAAAGATGCAAAAACCTTGAATAGTGAAGTGAAACCCTCAATCATTTCAGTTATCTAGGAAGATATACCCAAGGCATGAGGACTTTATACAGAAAACCAGGCATCACCCCGATAAAAAGGGAGACCATCTGGTCATGGCACATGGCTGGTGTTTGGAAAGGCTTTCCTCTGTTTCATTTCTCATGAAAATTTTAACACATTTAAAATTGCTTTGGAGAAAGAGTGTGTGTGTAAGAGTGTGTGTGTGTGTGCGCGTGTGCGTGTGATATATATACACACACACTACATATATGTACACAGAGAGAGAGAGAGAGAGATTCCCATAAGAGAAAAGGAGTATATCTGATTTCTGCTTTTATCTCCTTCCCCAGTGTAAATCATTCACAAGAGATCTTCCCTGGAGGAAACTACAACTTGAGTTCCTGGAAAGGATGTTGCCAAATACTGGATCGACCTGCTTTTCCTTGCACTTGGATTAAGCATTAATTTGGGGGGGAGATAGATCATAAATAAGAGCTGTGTTCCTTGGTAGAAAGGTAATAAAAAACTTCCTTTTCCACAACAAGTGTGACCCTTCCCCCACCTTTACTTTCCACCTCTTGCCAGCCAACTCCTCTGACTTGCTTGGAATTAGTCATAAATTAAACTAGGATAAATGCAAGACACCTCTTGTTGCAGATCTCTTCTCCCAATACAGATCAGAAGAGAAGAACACTTCTGAGCCTGATTGTCCTGATTTCATTTCTACCCTGAAACTGACTAGAATGTCTAGAATTAAACTGCTGTAGGCAAGAAGAAAATCAGATTCGGAGGATTTGACTGCCACTTACAGAAATTTGTGAACTAGAAATAATATTTAGAATTGCCATCCATTCCTAATAGTATTTCTGCTCTTTTTGAATCTGAAGAAGTGTTTTTACTGCACGAAGATAAATGACTGTTCTCAGAAATCTCTGCACATTTCTTCTGGTAACTATGGCTGCACGTGAACTGAGCTGCTAACGTGTAGTGCACCTCACCAGCTCGGTCACCGAAGCTCCCAAATCAGGGACTAGGCACTGTGTGCCCCACTCCCCCTCCTTCTGCCCACAGAGGTATCCAGGCCACATCTTGATCCAGGATGCTGGTCCCTGTTTAGAGGTAACTCATAGGAATGGAAATGTCCAAACTCCGAGGAAAGTTTCCTGTATCGATTCTTCACAATCTTTGTTGTTAACAGTTGTGAAAATTGATCCAGAAGTCACCGACCAGGAACTCGGAGCAGTATTCCTACCAGAAACAACAGAGCTGTGCTGCAAGTCAAATGTGGGTAAAATCAGGTCACAATCTGACTACTCCTTGTGAAAGCAACATTAATAGATCTTGAAGACCTCTAGAAGATCTTCTTGAAGAGGAAAGTCTGTTTTGTTTTAAGCTTCAGACCTTTCAGGACTCCAAAACCGAAACGTTCTTTGCAGATGGTTTTGCAAAAGATTGCAATATATATATTCCTATCCTATGACATTGTTAATGCCAAAGACTTGAAAAAAAAGCTAAGAACTGAAGTACAGGAACATCAGAAAGTCCTGACATACCCTCCAAATAAAACTTGTGCAGATGGAAATGCACTAGTCTATTCTGATAAAACAATAACTAAGTTTTCAATCTTCCATTAATTATTGCAGAATCTGTTCTGGGAAATCCAGATTCATAAACTTAGACAGCTGCCAGAACAGCTATTTTCAGGGAGCATTTATTTGGACTTATTGTAAAAGATGCTAGTTTCCTGTAAAACTCAGTTTATTAACTTAATTCGCTGAAAAATTATAAATGCCAGTATCACTACTACTTGTGATTTTTATCACGGGTTTCATATTGTTAAGTGTTTTTCTTTGGCCTCATCCACCCAGATTTAGGAGACTGCATGTCAACCTCAGTTTTCAGTGCTTTTAAAGAATGTTGCTAATCCTGATTATGGCAGATATATGCTCAAATATTTTATGCAAACCTGTCCTAAAGAAACTGCATGGGTTTGGTCCACAATTTTTAGCCAGCACCCTGGTTATAGCAGGGTTTAGCTTTCAAATAAGTTTAGAGTCTGAAATAGAGAAATATATTCTTTCAAGGGAAATTAATCAGAAACATTAACTCTCACTGCTAGGCAGAACACACCCCGCACCCCCCATTTATAAGTCATCACTGGCACTCTCCCTCCTTGCTGCTCCCTAGCATGCTCTATTTAATACTAGCCTTTTGAAATGGCTGCTTTTCCCGTTCCCACAACTGTAAGCTGGTTAAAAGGGCTACTCCAGCTAGTAAAGACAACCATGCATGAACGTCTAAAAAAGCCTCTCATATAGCTTGAGGCAGCAGCCTTCCTCCTACAGAAGAGATGTGGTGTGTTTCTTTTCTTTTCTTAGGATTCTTCTATAGCAGGATTACATGGAAGGCAATTTTAGCAGAGGATATGTGACATTGCTCTACCTACACCTGGTCAAAGAGGTTGCCCACCTGGTTTGCTGATGGCTTAATCAAAAGATGACATACATGGGACGCTGCATCCTAAATGTAGCAAAAAAAACCAGAGAAAGCAGGAGGGGATTGCTAACAAGTACCATCATGCTTTCAGGTGACTATTTACCCTCTGTCCTTGTGATGGTGCTAGGGGTTCACTGTAGAGGTCTTTGTGTCTCGACACAAAAAGGGAACCGTGCATTTAGCCACTCGGCGTTAATCTGGCAGCTTCGACCCTGAACTATCAGCGCCCAGGAACACATTTCCAACAACACAATTGCCAGCAACAATGAACCTGCAACGCAGACCTGAGAAGAAACATTTGATTTAATCAAATGCTTGCTAGCACTCTATACTTGTATAGATTCAAAGATCTACATGAACGTTTTGGAACTAATGGATTAAATAACGGATGAAGCCTACATGGAGGTATCCCTGTTTCAAAAGTCTTGCAAAAAAGGGAGAGCTTAACCTGCTTTGCAGTTACTGGCATGGCAGTGCACAATAGGTTGTAACTAATGCAGATGACAAGTTAATGAAGCACGGGTGGCGTGACTCAATCTGTCACCCTCAGAAGCTGCACACTGGACGTCAGTACGTATCTAACAGCCTTGTGGAGCTTTGTACTGTAACATTCACAGGGTGTTAGTTAGTCACTAAAAATCACCGGTAGTAATTCCAGGAAATGTTTTACACGTTTCAGTGTACAACAGTTCCAGGAAACATACTGTGTAGCCCTTACGATGCTCACAGCATACACAATGGAAGAAAACTATCCTTAATGTAAGACAAATTCTCTCTGGCCCCAATCTAGAAAAGCACTGAAATATGTAAATGAGGCAAGGCTGGTAGGGAACAGGAATATTTCTATTTTATTTGGCTGAGAGGCAGTTGGAAAAAACAAGCACACTTGTAGAAGCAAACTCTTTTTCCAGTTCTACATACCACAGCAGCACTTGCAAACTATACCCCTTTGTGAACATGTGAATAATTGACTATGGCAAAGAGGCAAGTCATATACAGCAAGTTATGGAGCCAAGTAAGTGTTCTCCAAACCAGGTAGCACCTCTTCCTCACAAATGACATGAGCAGAGAGAGGCAAGCTGCTAAAGAGACAGAATATGAATACCAATTCTTTTCTTCTGCAGACTGAAACAGTTTTTGCTATGCAGTGCCATAAATCTATGGTCTGTGGATCACTAACAGATGTCCAGATTTCAGCTAAATACAGGTAACTTTAAAGTCGCTTAAGCATGTTGCTCAGCAGTGGCATATAGCTGGGAAGGCGGCTCTGAACATCAGCCCCATCAGCAGTGGTAGAAGACAAATCTGTCTAGGGCATTGGTGCAGGGCACGGGAAGCTCTCTGCCCTTGTGAGGTATGGGACACAGGGAGCACAGAGCCCTGCTTGGCAGCCGGGGACAGAGGTGGATGTGCCCTGGGGGCAGCCGGTGTGAGACCCCGAGTTTGGAGTCTGTGGGCACAGTTCATCCATGTAGCACCATCCTGACTCCAAGCAGGCCCACAGAATAAGTAGGTCTGCTGCTATCCCAAGCTGTTATCTGATATCAAACATAAAAACAAGTGGCAGGTTACAAATCTTTCATGTTTGAGAGGCTGAATCAAATTCTCCCCTTGTTTACATCAGTCTAAGCTTGGGGGATCTTCACTGAAGCTGGAGTTACCATACACTTCTACCAGTGTAAATCAGATGAGAATTTGTTTCTTTGGATTTGATTCTGATTTCAAACTGGTTTTAAAGTCTCTCAGTTCATAGGAGCCGATGGAAGTACTTCAATTAACACAATATGGTATAACAATCAGTGCAACTGTACACATGCTTCTGTTTTGCCTTGTGGAGCTCTGAATCCAAAATCTGAGAACATTCAGAAGAACAGACTGGTGAAAACCAGTTTACTCTTTAGCTCAGAACTATTTCATGATGGTTTTACAGAGGAAAAAAATCAAAGCATCTTCTTGTTGCTATGGCATTCTGCAGCATAGGGATTCGCTATAGCAACCAGTGCACTACTTCAAAAGGCATTGATCAGAATGCATGGGTTGCCATAGTGAAAACAGATATTTTCTTTTTGCTATATTGATTGGTGCCTTTGATGTCAGGCAGCTAGAAATGTCAGGGAGATGGGAGCACCCTACATGAGATAATGCTGCATGTTCCCTGGTGGCAAGCGTAGATGGCAGTTCAGGACCACGTTTGTCTAGATGAAAGGAGAAAATCTTGAGTTTTTACGTGCAAAATCTTGCATATTACCAGGATTAAATATATGTAAGAAATATTATACTTGGGTCTTGTTGCTTACTGGTTTTCCACATGCTAGGGAAGTGTTTCTACCTCAGCAGCAATTGCATTGCAACGTTTGGGGCCCCCATGTTAGGGCGAATGGCCCCGTAAGTAGGATAATAAACCTGGATTTGTGTCCCGTTGTGAGTTTTGCCACAGGCCCCACGTGTACTTGGGAAAGTTTCTCAGCTCTGTGACATCTCCTGATTTGTAAAATGAAACAGTAGCCTGGGGGTGTTGTTAGCAGTTACAGTACAGCAAAAACTGTTAGATAGCAGAAATGGGAGAGCAGGACTTTTGCAGTTGTGGGATTATACACCTGGGAGCTCCCTCCAGCCTGAGTCTGTACTGAAAAGTAATGAGGAACTATGCATTACATGCCTCGTTTCTGTCAGAGGCTTTTACACATGGATCGAAACAGATATAACTCCACCAATCTGGCACTTTTCCTAAACAGCTCTGGTTCAAATAAAGGAAGAAGACTGTGGCTAGGTTCATACCAATGTTATTCCCCCTTCTAAAGAAACACTATTGCACTGCTGTAGCATCTGAGCTCAAATAACAGCAGGGACACAAAAAAATTGGTGCCCATATCAAATGACTGCTGTTACATCGCACCATCCCAGCTACCTTCCATAGCTGCTTCATTATCTCTATGACCCCAAATATTCCAAGTATCCTTAATTGCTGA